ATTTCTATTATTTTCAAGTCCTAAATAATTCATTATAACAGAATTAATTGTATTAATAAGGCGCATGCAAGCCTACATATAAAAGGCAGATACACCATTCATATGTAGGGGAAGCAATAAGAAACGTTCATTCAACTTCAGCACCCAACCACCGTCTAATAACCAATTCTACCATAGAAGGAATCAATAATCGAGCACTTAAAGCTTTTAAACGAGGCAAATTAAGATGGGATACATCGCCCAATATAAGTAGCACTTAATTACCAAAACCACCTATTAAATAAATAGGCATCAAAAAGAAGCTGATAATTATTTTGCCATGACTATTAAGTAAAAGTAGCAGAAATAGAGTGAAATAACTCAATAATAAGGCCCCGCAAATTTCATTCCAATCATTTCACCAAACCATAAGCCTATAAAACTAGCTCATATACATAATAGAGTAGAAATTATACCTATACGCCTATGGTCAAATGTAAAACTTCAACAATTTATGTTAGAATCATAAGACGATCTAACAACAATCTCTACATAGTGGGAAAACATTCAGTCTAAAATAACTGAATCTTGCTTATTCTCAGGAAGAAAGTTGCCTTTCAATTGGCAAAAAATTAATTAGCATCAATGTAATGGCATCAATTCCTTCAACTTTATAACCTCAACGAATGACTAAGATGAAGTTCATATATAACAATCCTTGCTCACCCCTAGTTAGACTTATAACACACACAAAAAACTAGTAAAGAAAAAGAAGTAAATCTAGAGCATTCAATCCTTAAAGAACTAGGTCAAAACCCACACTTATTTAGCCTCCATCATGCTACTCTTAATCTACATCTTCATGCAAATAAACTTCTAGCAAAAAATAAATTGATATAAATACACACGAAAATAATAATAGACCATGTAAAAATGCAACCACGAATCTGTAGCGCATAGAACATGAATAGGGTAGGAACCTATCTCTCAAACTTAGATGTAGAGATACTGAGGACATAACCTATTCACTACTCAATATATCAAAGTAACAAGCTAAAGCAGCCCTAGTTCAAGCTCACAATAAAAATAATAAATTAAAATATAAAAATTAAAATCGTAAACAACAAAAGCAGGAAAATTTAGAAATAGCTATGCATTTGTAAGTAGATGAGCACGAATTTGCACCGTGGAAGAGCATTCGAACACAAAGAATAGTGAGACATTATGGTATGGTATGGTATGGTATAGGTCAGGGGAAGTAAAGAGATGGAGAGCAGAAAGCATCTCACCGAATGTGGTCATTGGATCANCCCCTAGTTAGAATTATAACGCACACACACACACACACACACACACACACTCACACACACACGCATGCACGCACACACAAAACTAGTAAAGAAAAATAGGCAAATCTCGATCATTCAAACCTTAAAGAACTAGGTCCAAACCCACGCTTATTTAGCCTCCATCACGATACTCTTAATCTACATCTTCATTTAAATAAACTTCTAGCAAAAAATAAATTGATATAAATACACACAAGAATAAAAGACCATGTAAAAACACAACCACAAATCTGTAGGGTAAGAACCCATCTCTTATACTTAGATGTTGAGATACTGAGGAAATAAACTACTTACTACTTACTACAAGCCAAAGCAGCTCTAGGGGCCAAACATCTCATACTGCAGAGGCCAACGACTCCCAAAGTCAAAATTTTTTGCAGTCAACAACATCACGATTTACACGACAGGATCGGGAGGTGCGACCGTGCAACTCTCTGTGCAGACAACCGCCCAACAAGTGGCCAATCAGAAGTCTCTGTTTGTTTAACCATTTCCGGCATGCTAATTATGATTAAGCTCACTGAGTGTACACTATACTCATATTATACTTACAGAATATACCTGTTCCGCGCTATACGCCTGTCTCCTCTATGGCAGGGCTATAGCTTAGCCAGTTCCGAGGGTCTAACTAGATGTAAGAGAAACTACCAAAGAGATTAATGAGTAAGTGAGGCTTTACTAGTGTAGCAATCCTCTACAAATTGGTGATCCAGGCGTGATTTGCTCATTCAAAGCATATTGCCTCACTCGGGAGTGGAGTGCTGCCTGGTCAATTGGCGGTATGAGGGCGCCAAAGTCTTCGTTAGTGGTTGCTATGACTGGCATTCTTGCAAGGAACCGCCCTGCTCCATACTTCACATCAACCTCAAACCTGTTACCTTCAGGGAGACACTTACAATCATTCTTTGCCGCCGTCGTGACCCTTGGTTCTTCCATCAGCGCAACTGTGCGACTGAGCAAGTTGTCGAAATGAAAGTCTGTCTGATCACCACGACGACACCCCGTTCCAATCAAAAGATGCGAGGTTATGAGACTGGCTAGCAGTGCATCACCAGTGTTGGTCTGGGCTCGGAATCACAGTGTATTGATTTTGGTTGTATTCTTTTGTCCATGATTTGTACAATGTCGCCTAGTAGGGAGCCAATATCAACGCTGTTTGCATTGAGTATCGCTATCAACCAACTAGCACCCAACCCAATATCTTCACGATGCTTCACATGGCAATAATGTTGCAATTCACTGAGGTTTCGCAAGTAGGCATTGGTCTTCTCCTTTGCCAATCGCTCATTATTCAATGCCCGTATCTGCTGCCTAGCAACCTCACCCCATTGAACACCGATTGATGAATTCATGAAGGTGGTTTCTTAAGCATTGAATTTATGAGAAATCTCGTCAAGGGTTCTTACATTGCGAATGCGTAGTTCTTCCAGGGGATTGAAGTACTTCTGCATTCTATACTCCCCCTTCCACTTTCTTGAGGTTCGAATTCGTTCACGCCTATTGTCCGGCGAACATGACGAAGTCCACTCTCCAACTCCAACAATCCCGCCTCAGCAGTTCCAATACCTGTCCCACCTCTACCCAAAATTCTGTTACACTAAGGCCGAAGGTCTATCTTCCCCTCTCAACTGGTTGGTATTATACATTAACCTTTAGTTTCAGCTAACTACAAACGCTCTGGAGGGGCGGGGAGCATTGTGGGACACGTTATCGCATGCATGCACGCGACCATACAACTCTCTGTGCAGACAACTGCACAACAAGTGGCCGATCAGAGGCCTCTGTTTGTTAAACCTAATCCCCCATGCTGATTATGATTAAGCTCCCTGAGTGTACATTATACCCACGTTATACTTACTGAATAAACTTGTTCCGCGCTATACGTCTACTTCCTCTATAGTTCTGGGAGTCTAGCTGGATATAGGAGGCTCTGTCAGAGAGATTTCTGAGTCAGTGAGGCTTTACTAGTGTAGCAATCCGCTACGGGTTTCTGTACAAATTGTTCTTTTATTAATATATTGAGATATAATTCTCGCGTATTTGTATTTATAATTTTTGTTTTGTACATATATTGCAATTTTAGCTTAAATAGAATAATAGTTTGTCTTTTTCTAGTTGTTGCTAATATGAATTTTGGTTTCATATCTGGTTTATTATTTTTTATCGAGTCTTTTTGATTTTAGCTTTTGGAATTAGAATTCAATAAGGGGTATAATGGAATATTTTTGCTTGGAAATGCATTGTTATTTGTCAATTTTCCTAATTTGGTTGTTTGCGTTCTTAATGTGAGCTCGGACAACTTTACGTTATGATTATTTTTTACCCATAACTAATAATAATACTAATAATGTTCTTACATGGATTATAAAGCAAATCATGGTGTTGTTAACTGCTAAAGAATTATGACTTTGGGAGTCATTGGACTCTGTAAAATGAGAAGTTTGGCCAATAGGGCTGCTTTAGCAGGATTGTGGGACACGTTCTCGCTTTGTGCGTCATCGCATGTCCGCACACCAGGATTGGAAGGTGCGCCCGTACAACACTGTGTACAGCGACCGTACAAACAGTGGCCAGTCATTAACCTCAGTTTGTTTAAACCTAATCCTTCATGTTGATAAAGACAAAGATTCCGTCCCATGCTCAAAACCGGCGTGTCACATCCCGAATAAACGTATTCCTCATCACCCGCTTAGTAGTATCTAAATTTAAGGGTTGGGTTCTTACGATTTTTTATTGTAATTTTACAAAAATTATTATTTTGCGTGCTTATTTACAGTAATTTATTTTTGCTGGAAGTTTATTTACATGGAGAGGGGTGCGCGATAGACTTACCTCCACGTGGTGCACCCTGGACAACGTATCTTCGTACGGCAGAAAAGTCTATCACTCGGCATTTGATTTGATTTGACTTCGATTTATTATGATTAGCATGAAAAAAGGCTATAAGAGAAATCGCCTTCGTCAAGGCAAATCACAACGTCTTCAGATCCTCCAGTGGAATGCTGGAGGGATGTCACAGGACAAAAGATCCAAGTACAGAAAATCCTATAAACCTATGATGTAGACCTTTTCACAATTATGGAAGCAAACATTTCGGATGACAAACTGAAGTACTACCAATTCCCCGTTTAAACCCTGTACCTTCTATCTAAACTGTAGTATTAGGAGACTTCAACGCCAATTCCACCAG